ATTAATAATTAAATTTCGCGCGCACTCTACATTTAAGTCCCGGATATGTCGCGGCATTCTGCGCGATGTGAAGTTTTGAGCATTTTTTTGTATAGTGCGCAACTTTCAGAAACATTGGGACCTTGGACAACTTTTGGGCAACTCAAGCGAATTTTTTTGAGCCAAAATTGAATTTCCACATTTTCAGAGAGTATCTAGTACAACCTCAGATGATGATAAAAAGCCTTTTTTTCAGAGCAGTTTGCTCCAACGATCTACTAAGGGTACGCAGGATAGAAAGTTTTTCCGTTTTTTTCCAAACTAGTTTTAAAATTGTAAGTTTCAAAACGTTTAGCATGTTTTTTTTTTTGCAATTTTTTTTGTGCGCTAGCGGCATTCCAAATTGACGCCGAAATCGGGCATTTTCTGGAAGCTCTTACTTATAAAGTGAAAGCGGTCTAGAAAAGATTAACCCAGTAAATCAAAAGACCTTTTTCCTCTGCTTTTTGGCTTTGTAAAATTGAAATGAAAGTTGAACCTGAATTTTTGACGAATTTGTTTAATTTATGCTTCGCGACAGAGCTCACCACCTCTGAATTTAGAAGAAATTAAAGGCTTAAAAAAGCACTTGGTACAGGAGTTCACCCAAAGAGACAGCTATAGATCGTTTTCACGTGACGTCATCATTTTCTAAAATCGAAAACTAAAGAGCCGCCAAAGTTCTTATGCCCATTAGGCATAAGAGGGGGTAAATTTATATCTTTTTTACAATTTTTCAGCTCAATAGTGTGCTTCGTTTGGAAACCAGCGTATTTTGAATTTCAGAGTTATGGCGGCGCGTGACACAAAGCTACGATTGCATTTGTCGAAAAACGTATACCTATCTCATGATTTTTAGCTTTTTGAAAAGTTAGAGCATTAGGAAAAGTGTTTATGTAAATGCTTGTTTGTTCAGTTCAGATAATCCGTCGCCTAGATGTCCAAAGTAAGATCCAGATGTTTACACTATTTTCGGGCCGCCATGTTAGTGTACAACGGAGGTACACCAACATGGCGGCTCCATACTGGGCTCTGTTAATTTGTGAAAATATTTCGACGAATATCTGAAGTTTGGGAAAACGCACCGACCGGAAACGTGGAGAAGCGTCTTTTTTATCTCCTATAACATGACAATTTCTTGTCTTTGTCCACTGAATGGTTTTCAAACAACCGGGCCCGGCGTAATAATACAAAATGCAAGTAACCAACATGTGCACGGAATATTTCAAACTTTGTCCCTCCAGAGCTAATATTTAGAGAGCTTAAAACATATCTTGCAATGAGCCGAAAAAACTAGCACTTGGCAAAAAAACAAAGGTGTCAAACTACACACGGATAACAGCGGAAGCCACACAGACCCATGACCTCTAACGTCTCTACTCTGTTGAAATGTCGTCCTAAAAACAGGATTATTGCTTAGCGAAATATTATTGCTAAGTCGAACAATGGCATGTACAACACGCAAAACAGTCAACAGACTTGCGCGTCAACAGCTACATTTGAATTATGTGGTGCCAGAACGACCAAAGGAAGAATAAACCTATACATCGAGCTCGAGAAACATTAGCTCGATCAGATAGCTGCAAGAAACATTAAAATGTCTTTAGACAAACGTATAGCTTTCTCGAAGTAAAGCTACGGCGTCTCCGAAGAAAAACGTACGAGGACAAATATGATATCCGTGATAAGAATCTACTACTGAACTTGCAATTGATTGATTGATTGATTGAACAGTTCCAATCACAGCCGGGCCCCGCGTCACAATATAGAATGCAAATAAACAACATGTTCACGGCAAATTTCGAATTTTGTCCCTTGAAAGCTAATACTTGGAGACTTAAAAACATAGCTTGCAATAGAAACGAGCCAAAACAATGCATAAACACACGGCAAATTACAGAGGTTTCAAACTCGACGAAGCGACATGCAGATAACAGCGGAAATCATGCAGACCTATAATTTGCCATAGCACAATCTAACGTCTCAACTCTTCTTAAAATTCTTCCTTATAACACAACATGAAGTGCCCTTCATAAACACGAGTGAAGCTACAAAAAAGGTCCAGTGACCGAACAGAGAACGGCAAGTGTACAAATGTCACGAACCGTAAAAGTCGTGTAGGCTAGTTTACCCCATTTTACACGCTCGCATCCATCAAACTTGTCCTCCATTTCCTGGCAATCGTAATATGGGCTGTCTGGTTGGACGCTCTTCCATCCGGGTGAGATCCACGTGGCCTTGTGAAGGCTCTGTGAGGAAAAATGCTCCCACCGATGACTAGGTCATTGAAGACACAGAAATAGGTTAACCACTCTCTATTCTCGTTCATGTGGCCCAGCCCGTGTCGCCCCATGACTGTTTCCTTACCAGTGTTATCATGACCAGTCTTGGCGTTGAAGTCACCCAGAAGAATTCTGATGTCTC